GGAGGAGCCTGATCAATAATACGTGATCAATAAATCAGCAGCTGAATGCTGTGTGTGTGTATTGAGGTGATTTGCATTGAGAAAGTGAGGGGCTCAGCAGCGCCTGAGTTTACCGCACTGCTGTCCGTCCACCCCTCTGCCTCCTCTCTTCCTCCTCTTTTCCTCCTCTCTTCCTCCTCTTTTCCTCCTCGCTGCCTCCTTTTCCTCCTCTCTTCCTCCTCTCTGCCTCCTCGCTGCCTCCTCTCTGCCTCCTTTTCCTCCTCTCTGCCTCCTTTTCCTCCTCTTTTCCTCCTCTCTGCCTCCTTTTCCTCCTCTCTGCCTCCTTTTCCTCCTCTTTTCCTCCTCGCTGCCTCCTTTTCCTCCTCTCTTCCTCCTCTCTGCCTCCTCGCTGCCTCCTCTCTGCCTCCTTTTCCTCCTCGCTGCCTCCTGTGAGGCTGTACCTGACTGGTGTGGCTGTTTACACCTGAGTGTGGGTCAGCTGCTGGTGGCTATGCTAATGTTAGCTTGTGTTGCTGCTCTTATTGTTGCTCTGTAGGTGAGACACACTCGCCTGTTTATTTCTGTGAATAACTCACCGAATGACAAAAAAACTTCCTGAATCTTGAATCAGTCATCCGCCCTTCTCTCATTCTCTCCTCATCCCTCCATCTTCACCTCTTTTCCTCCACCCATCCTTCCTGTAACGTGTATTACCTCCATCACTTCTTCTCTGGCCCTTTTTCCTATTTTCCTTTTCCCTTACCTCATTTTTCATCTTGCTTATTTCCTTATCTCCTCCCTTCCTACACCTTCCTAGCTTCCTCTCTTCTCTCTTTTATTGTCCTTTCTCCCTCCGTCAGTCTGCCTCCTGCTTCCTGATCAAAAAGAAAACCAGTGATTGGAACTTGAGAGCAGCTGAACAGACAAAGATTTGACTCTTTCCTCAGACAGAAAGACTAAAATCAGCCAGATTTCACTGAATTATCAGAAAATCGTTGAACTGTTTCCTGCTGTGTGAACAAAGAGACTCACCTGATGGAAAGAGGACGATTCTGCCTGATAGATGAGCTCAGACTTTACAATGAGCCGCTCGGTCTGCTAAAACTGGTCCCAACCCCAAGTCCTGCACTCACCAGAGCCTCTGATGTGTCACCAGAAAACGGATCTGCTGAGAAGTCGTTTCTGAAACTTTTCTTATGGTGAAATCACTGCGAATCATTCTTGTGTCAGACTTAACTTCATAAAATGAAATGTGATGAATAAAAACAAAGAATAATAAAAGTTAGCAGGACAAAGATGAATGAGGTCGTCTACCGTGGACCAGCCGACCAGTGTGCAGGCGGTTGTTGGTAGTTTTCAGGTGAAAGTGGTCAAAAGATGGTTGCTTTGGTTTCTAGCAGGTTGCCATGGTCACCCATAATTTGCATGGAAGACGCTGACTTGTCTGCAAACACTCGCCAACTTCTCTTCAAGCGGAAGAGTCACAAACTGGAAATGGAGACCAGTCACCTCCAAAGTAAAAGCTGCACCTTTTTGCACTAGTTAAGCACAACTTTTACTTTGAAAGAACACAGTCTTGTGTCGCCCTCTCTCTCCGCTCGCTCGTTAGAAAGACGCTAACGTGGAGATGAGTTGCCTTCTTCAATGTATCTAAGTGCAACTCTGGCAACCTGCTGGTGACCAAAGCAATCACACAGAGGCTTTTGGGGCCCCCATCTTTTGCGACCGATCTCACGCAGTGACAGCCAGCACGTTTCCTTAGCAACCGATGGTTGATAGGCGGCCTGGGTGATGAGGGCCAAGCTTGTCACCTCCCTGCTCTTATGTGAACGCTTCAGTGCTTGACGTTGGTGTTCTTCATGTTTGTGGGCGTATCTCTGCTGCCTTCATGGTCACGGTGTCAGTAACTGACCACCACGAGGCAAGCTAGTTGTGCTTCAATTAGCAGTTAGCAAAGCTAGCTGCCTGTGAGTGACTGTGTTCTTAAACACGGGGATTGTTCCCCGCAGTGATTCCCACATTTTGATGGTGAGCAGGTCACGCTGCCCGCTCGCTCTCTTGGCTTTGGTAACGTGATTTCATTGGTTGACGGCTGTATGGGAGCGTTTGACTCAATGTGACTTGGCTGATGCCTTTGCTTCAACAATTGAAATTCTTTCAAATTTCATTGCAAACAATTCGAGCAAAGCGAAACACTTCAGCACGTCGCCTTGCTCAAAGCCACCTGTTCTCACCGCACACGGAGCAGAGCAGGTGGAGACCGGAGAACCGAAACAACCAATTTAAAGGCAACATGCTAGCTTAATATGCACAAAATAAAAGCTTCCCAACAAGGCTGTGTCCTAACAGAAAGGTTAACATGGTAGAAACTTTATGTGGTTGTCTTGGAGATGATCGAGGAGCCTGACAGATGTTACGACTTCATTCTCAGTTCAGTCAGTAACGTAATGAAGCTCCCTCATGTGAGGCCAGCAGACGGGGTCCCTCGCTGCGTGCGACCACTTTTTAAAGTCGCTATTTTCTGATGAATCGCTTTTATTTTCACTTTCTGTTGGGCTTAGCTTATTTGCTGCAGTGTGAGATTTAAAATGAGTCGCTGTACTTTGTCTCCATCTGATATACGATTGGCTGCCTGAAGGCTCAAAGTTCACAGAGTTCACTTTAACGCAGTAATGAGGTCAGGCAGTGGCGAGGCCGTGCTGAGGACGTCCTCACAATTAGCGCCCTGTGAAACACCTCTGATGCTCGAATCGTACAAAGACCGGAGACCCATCAGCAGCCCTGCTGAGCACGCAGCTCGCTGTGATTGATGTTAGACTGTAATAAAGACACGATTCATTCAAATAATCGACTCAGGATAGAGTTTACTCCTCCTGTCTCCACTTAGTGCTTAATAACTTCTTACAGAACCTCGTTAGAGGCGTCGCATGAATAAGACATAAACTGCACGAGCTTCATTTGGACCAAATCTGAGTCTCAAACATTTAGTCTGCTAATCAGATCTCAGGCTCATGTTTGAAGCTGGAATAAAAACCAGAGGTGGAGATGGAAGAAGCTTTTATTAGCTGCAGACAGAGCGCTCTAAACCCGATGAATCTGACGTAAAACTCACCGAGTTTCTGTCTGTGCCCGTTCTGGCTTTTATTCCTGGACTCTGTTAGAGGAGCTTAGCATGGGTCACGCTGGGCCTCAGTTCATCCTCTGTCTGAAATAAGCTGGAAGTTTAAACAGCAGATGGGCGGGGCTTCTGAGCCTGAGATGACCATATTAGGAATTCGTATCGTGGCTCATGCAGAGATGTGAAGACGAACCAGCTGCTGTGACCTCACTTTATTTTTGCTCTCTGAAGATTTTCTCAGATTTTCCTCCACCTTTCATTTGTGCACGTGCTCCCTGCGTCTCTCTTTTCTCCTCCACCACCTCTCCCATTCGAGCTCTCCATCACCCATTCATGATTTCCCTCCCTCCATTTCATCCTCTCCTCCATCTTTCCTCCCACCCCTTCCTCTTTTTGCTGCTTCTCTGCATCCCTCTCTTATTTCCACCCGTCTCCTGGCAGCTTTCCTTCTTCCCCGTGTTCCCCGTCGGTGTGAAGCACCAATCTTTTTGATTCCTGGTGACTGAATCTCCTCGCTCCTTTTTTCTTTTCCTTTTCAATTGTTCCTGAATTCTTCCTCTCTGTCGGCCATGTTGGATGATCACGGAGTGAAATCCAGCTCACGTAATCCTGCCGGTAACAGATGCTGCTGTATCATGCAGCAGCAGCAGCAGCAGCTCTGTAGTAATAATTATTTTTTTATGTAATCGTCCACATCACAGTGATGCTGCCAGCTCTCCTCCTCCTCCTCCTCCTCCTCCTCCTCCTCCTCCTCCTCCAATCTCCACAAGTCTGAACAAACGCTGCGAGTGAGGAAGTACAAACCTGCTGTGGTGCTTTCATTCCAACACACACCAGGCTAACTTCTAGTTTTCATGCTAATGCTGTGCTGATACACGACCTGCTTTCACATGTTTGTTGTGAGTTTGACTTGCTGTTATTCTTTAAATAACCCAAACCTCCAGGAGGAGCTGTGTCCTCGTGCTCGTCCCATTAATTTGTGAATTTCAGCTTTAGTTTAGGAGCAGAAATGAGACAAAGGAGCAGATTTTTAACCTGTTGGCGGTTCGTTAGTGTGCTCTGTGGTTACGGGAGCGTTG